AATATTACATCCCAAGGGTGCTCAAGGAATCTAGAAGACCCACCAAACTTCTAAGCCTGACACCTCCAGGGCAATGGCTAACACAAATATATCTGGAAGTGCCATTCCTAAATTCTGCTATGGTTTTGAGAATGAGATAAGCACTTAAAATACTTCTCTTTATCCTTTTTTCTTCAAGGAGAAAAGGATTATTAGAATTCTTCCTCTTTTACAGAAGACTTTGTAACTCACTTTGTAACATATTAAGTATAAGAATAATAATAAATATTAACGTAAGATACACGTGCATAATAAAAAAATAAAAATGTTTTCAAAAACCAGAAAAAAAAAGTATTTCAGTGAAAGCTCAGTATATATTTTTTGCATTTCTCCTCCTTTCCTAACTCTCATACAGATCTCATTTGAAAAAAAACAAAACAAAACAACAAACTCAGGACATTGAATTGTTGTTAACATGTAAAACGGCCAGGCTAAACTTGTCAGTTATTAGCTTTTTTGTGCTGGTCTCATAAAAATAATTTTTAATATCCAGAATGTTCCTGTCATCCTGGATAACAGCTTTTTTATTCTAGCACATTTTCACCCAGATAACACAGCTAATGAATGTGTAATTAAAAAAGGTTACATTAAAAGCCTACACTGGTAGCTCCAACGTCCTACAGTAGTATTTATTTATTCCAGTTCTACACAGACACCCTCCATTACACATGCAAAACTTCTGGCACAAATTCTTCAACCGCATGACACACTAACGTATTTACGGTTTCGACACAACTTTGTTCCTTTTTTTTCAACTCTTTGGAAACCTCAGTCAGAAATTAAACCACAACCATACATTTAATACAATAAGTAATTCTCCTTATGCCAACTGTCAACTGTTTTCTTTCCAGTCAACCATTACAGATACGTCACATGCCCAGTTACCATCGTCTTTCAGACGTCTCCAGTTTATAAATTTTGTTTCCTTCTTAATCTTTATCACTTCGGCAAGCCTCAGGGCTTGGTCCTTCCTCTGCATTAGCTGCTGCTCAAATGCAATTCTGAAGGCATCTGCCATTATATAAGCTTCATCTTTACTCTTCTTCAGATTTTCAACCTGGTTTTAATTCAGAGAAAATTTAAAGTATATTAAGCAATTTGGAAGCCATAGCAGATTTAAAATGTGTATTAAGAGACAGACTGAAACCATTAACACAGACAACTTTTAATAATCAAGGAAGCAGTAGAAACCAAAGTGCTTTTTTGCCATATTAAGAAATACATTTTGAAATGTGTATTGAAGTCCTTTTCTACACACGCACACACTGCCACCCATCTCTACAGACAAGCTGCCAGCAATGCCTATTTGTCTCTCTGCATGCAGAAGAGCTTGGGCAGGGCATTAATGACCCATGTCAGTTGGGCCAGGAGCAAAAGGAGCAAACCAATGGTATCTATGTCAGGGATAGGAACTTTTGTACAAAAGGGACATGAAAGTACCCTTTTTCAAAACCAGTAAGTCAACTGGAACTTCTGCAGTGGGACCAGAAGGATAAGTCTACCTCATGGGTACATCCCACATTTGCAGAGTCAAATATAAATTAGAAGAAAAATTCTAAAACTACAAAATTGCACTAAATTAAAAACCTGAAGAACTTCAAAATCATGTTATCAATTTAAGTGTGAAGTAAATATACTACAGCAAGAGCAGCTTCCTGGTATAGTTGGGTGAGTGGCCTCGTGAGTGCTCATCACCATGTCCATGTGATGGAGGGGTGGAACGCACTGCCAGGAAGGAAGGGAAGGGGGAGTCATCCCCATCAGCAGTAGTCCACACCCGCACTGTATATACATTTACACAGTGTATACTCTTAAGTGTGGTTTTTCCCTTTTTTTAGATTACAAAATATAAGTGGAAGGAAAAAGAATGCAAAAGATTTTTTTTTTTTTAAACTAGTAAAGGTGGTTTATATAATTACAGTTTTGTATCATCAAAACTTAGGGAATTACAAACAAACTTTACATTATTTCTGTGATGTATTCTTGTTTTAAAACACACTAGTTTGTGTAAGCTGCAGTAGAGCATTTCTGGCTTTATTTATTTTTGAGCCCAAGCACCCCTCTGCTCGTTCATAACTAAGCCAAGCGGCGTTACCTCTTGCTTCAGATGAAGAAGTTGCTTTCGAGTTACAGCTGCCATTTTAGCACAGGGACAAGGTTGCCCCCCAGAAGTATTGCAGGTGCAGGCTCCAAGAACTGCCAGCTTAAAATCCAAAACAAATGACTTGTTAAATATCTAACTGCATATACAACACAACCCAAGAGATGCCAGATGACTAGCAAAAAAACCATTCTGAAACTACAAAGGGAATGTAAGAGTCGGGGGAAGCAAGCTACAAGAGATTTAGCTGTGATTGCTTTTGACTCACAACGGCACGTGTGAAATGCACTTTTCAGCAAGAGAAACTATAGGCAAAAATTGTCAGCCCGTGTATGCTACTCCCTGCAGACCTAATTAGATGATTTTTTTTTTCTCTCAATAAAGCACTAGGCACAAGGATTAGGATTTAAGGTTTTAGGAAGAAAAAAATAAGCAGGCTGGCTTGTGAAAAATAGCCTGATGCTCCTTCTGTCTACTCTTTCTTTGCAAGATAGACCACAAATTAGAAAACTGATTAACAGATATGCAAGGACATATTCTCATTAGCTAAAAATGCGTCTAAAGAAACAGTTAAACAATCAGTAAGCAAAATTTATCTGTATATTTTGAATATAAACATACCTCTGAACCAGCCACTTTTTAAAAACAAGTAAGTCATACTTACTTCAAGACCTGTAAAATCTGTAATGTGACTTTTATTCAAGGACATATTTTCCTGAACAACCTTCTGTTGTTTCACATCCAGCATTGCAAGAAATTCCAAGCACTGCTGATTCAGGACTATGAAATAAAACAAAGAAAGTGATTAAAAGGTCTGCTGCTCTGATTTCTAACTTTCTGGGTTTAACTACACACAAATTAATCAATTCTGTAGCGTAAGCATCAGTGTGATGAGACTATGTAGATCTAAAAACTCAGATCCCAGTTGTCTTTCTTTCTTTCTGTGTTTTCCTAGAGGCAGTGACCCACTGACAGGAATACCATCTTGTATCTTACTCTGCTTCAGGACTAAGGTCTCATTTCTTTGTATGCTTACAACTATGGTAGCTTCTCTTTTAGAATAGCACAACATTGGGAAAATAATGTCAGCTCTTTTAAAACATTTTGGAAATGAAAAACGAGAGAAAGCGGCTTAAGCCATCTGACCCAGCCAGACGCCTGCACGACCTGCAGTTTGAAAAGCTCCATTATGAAGCTGTCAAGCTGAATACTTCACAGTTTGTGCTATGGGAATCTTTATATGGGTATGTTAAAAGCAAATGTTAGTGACCCAGACTGTCATTGTAGCAGGAGCACTTGGTGGCTCCCCTGGCTGCTGTTGCCTCCTTCCAGGACACAACTGGGAGCATCAACTGGTTGTGTCCCTCCACACCCATGGTGTCACCACACCAGTGAGGTGAGATAGGTGTACTTCTTTCACACCTGATCTACTCTTTAAGCTATGCTTACCTGACTTCTCCTATCATTTCATGGGTTTTTTTCAGTTCAAGTGACAATGTGAGAAGAAAATAAAACACAACTTGTTTGTTTATAGAGGGTTTCTGCATATCCACTAATAGCAGCTGCCAATAACAAGAGACTTATCCCAATAGAAAGCTTCCTTCATAGCTAAATCCTGAATTATTCCTGAGAAACAGTATGTGAAGACAAATAGCTGTTGGTAGCTTACTTGCATTTTCAGCTTTTAGGGTTTTAACCTCTTCCGTTCTCAGTTTCAATGCTTCCTTGAGAGCTGCATTTTCACAATATATCCTGCAGAAGTCAGAAAAAGGCTGTATTATCTTTTTAAAAAATATCTAAAAATGGGCACTCAAATAAAAAAAAAAAGGTTAAAACATTTTACCTAATATTTCTGCAAATTAAAATTAGCATTACTGAAAGGATTGAAGAAAAAAGTAAAAACTGAAAAGAGTTGAGTATTTGGCTTGACAAGATATTACCCATGCTGCATTATCCAAGCAGTTTCCTCACTTTTAAATTTTTTTATGGAAAAATTTTTCAATTTTTTCCATAATTGTATCTGTACCAATAATATGTAGTATGTTGTTAGATCCAAATCTACAGCCAGGGGCCAATAAGCAACCTAAAACCACTCCTAACTAACTCTCTGAAGACAGTTCTGTGTGTAGGCTTGGTCTGACTGCCTCTGAACCAAGGCTAAGCAAGCAGGCGACGCCAGGCTGTCTTCTCTGGAGTCACTCCTCGTGATCCAGGCTGCAGGTGGCTCTGCAGGGAGCAAAACCAAGAACTTCTGCACTCATACAGAGGTTTCTCTGCAACCCAGATAGCATACGCTGTTTAAACAGGCTCACCTGGTTCATGAAACCACACCCTCCCACAACCAATTTAAACAAGTCCAAGTGAATGTTAAAAAAGAAAACAAACAAAAAAAATCATTTGTGTAAGTAAAAGGTGCCGACAGCTTCAGAATTTAACAGGAGATGAGCTTAAGTACCATGTTACCATCAGAAACTCCAAGAAATTAGTAGCTGTGACCCTCTGAAACACTTGCTAGAAATCTCTTACTTCCTTGAAAGAACAAAATTGTTATTGGACATGTGACAATCATGGCTCTGGTCTTAATTTTAGAAAGTAAACTTCCTGTATTCTTAATACTGTTCTCAAGAACAGCTGCACTTTCAAGCATTGCAACCTGAGAACATATGATAAGCATTAATAATGCATTTTTTTGGTGAAGTATTTAAGTATTTCCTACTTGAATAGGAAAGTGGCAATCTAAAGTCCTAAACGTTAAAGCAATACAATTTTTTTTGGTGCATCTCTTTGGCTGTCAGTAAATGCAGTGTACTGTAAATTCATTCAATTACTATTTAGTTTTGCTCAAAACTAAATAGTAACCTGAATTATTTCACTTGAATAAACAAATGGAAATACACATTCTTCTCATCCTGCTGTCTCAGATAATCAGGAAACCTTTTTGCAAAGTGGGCTGAGCTCCTGGCTTGCAGTCTTCTGAAGCTACGTCTCTAGCTTTCAATGCTGAACATTATTTTTGTTGCTCCAAATTACCTGGCTACACTTCCAATCTCCTAAGTCAGGAAAGCCAAAGGGGTTTTCACGGGGTATCCCTTAACAAGTGCAACTAAGTTAACAGGTGAAAAAGACACAATATATACAAAAGTCTTCTTACAAATTTATAGTTTGCAAACTTTTGGCTTATTTTTTAAGTTTTCAAATTTTAAATAAAAAATCTCTGCTGAAATAACTGTAACTCTGATGGGCAGACTTCAGCAATATCATTTCCACATTTAAAGAAGTGAGCCTGCTGGTCACATTTTCCAAGGTCTGTTATTGCGTTGTTAGTTTAGTTCCTCTGGCATCTTCTACTTGCCTAACCTGCTGCCGTCCAGAGCAACTCTTACTTTAACAAAGAACCAGTTGATCAGCCTCTCTCAAAAGCATTCCATTTTACCTGTACGTATGCTCATACCTACAATGCAAGAAAATAAAGCAATGATTAACCAGTAAATATTTCCACATGCATGCACATACCATTATTTTCTATGCCTCATTAAATTTAAAGTAAACAAGGACATTTTGGCTCCAGCTGGCTAACTTAATAATGTGACAGGATGAAAATGAAAACTCAGCCTAGCAAAAAGGCAAAACTAGCCTATATAGATACACTAAGGAATTACTAATTTTAGTAGTTTTAATTGAAAAATACAAATGTGACTAGCATGAAAATCACATACATCTTCACAAATTTGGAAGAAAATTAGGAAAAAAACCAAAAACCCCAGAAAACCTGATGAAGCAAACTTGAACCCAAAAAAGATGACATATAGCATTCAAAGTGATTAAAAAAACACCCCCAAAGATACACAGTGTAAGCAGAATACCTGTCATATTTCTCTGTCCATGTGTCTTCTATGTTTTTAAATCTATCCTGATCAAACTCAATTTCCCACTGCAAAATATTTATTTCCTGTGGAGACAAAACAAGGCAGCAGCAGTTCATTGCAAGCCTCACAGTGAAAGGAAGAAGTGGAAGTGCTGGTGCTGAGTTTGGCACGGGCAGAGATCTAGGTGACCGACCATTATGACAATCTATGATACTGTTAAACATGTATTTAGTGCCAGACACCAAAAAGTTTCTGCATCACTAATCTATGGATTCCAGACCATGTTGCTTGAACTAATGCTTGTAGTGGCTTATGACAAAACCAAACTCACGCTGTTACATTTCCCTGTCCCCTTACTGTTCCACACAGGAAAGGCCACACAGGAAGAGAAACACAGCATAAAACTCCTTTTAACAAAGTAGCTCAATGCCACCTTCCTCTTCCTCCCCATCTTCCCTATGAAAACCGGGCACCCATTTCTTAGACTCCTTAGGAAGTTCCAGCCTAATTACTAAGAAACAGTGCGACTCGCGATGAATGACTGTGAAACTCACAACAAAGACCAACTGAAAGTACAGAAAGAACTCTAGTAACTTCCAGGTATTATCTGTACACACTATAGCATGAGAACATTTAGATTGAAACAGTGATACATCAACATTTTCCCTTTCTACTAAAAAGGGATAAGAATACATTCAAAAAAACCTGGTACTAATAGCAGGTTTATTCTGAATTAAATCAACAGTCTGATAACCCCTTATTAATAGCAATGGACTTTGATGTTTTTGCACAGGTGTGAAGGAAACATGCACCCTTACCTTTTCTAAAGTTCTCTTTTCTTCCTCAGTTTTTTGAAGCATTGCTTTTGTATGACTAGTGGCTTTATTAAATACTGCCTGCAAAAAAAGTACAACTCTGTCACATACTGTAATAAAGTTTACTTAATTTGGCCTTAGCCAAATTTTCAGTTTTACATCAAGAGAAGTTCACATTCTTAGTTAAACAGGAGTGTGCAGAATTACAAACACTAGCAACTTGATTGTAAGTCCCAGCGGGTTCTAATTTCCAGTCAATAAATAGTTATGTTGCATAACAAACTTGTGTTTCAATCCCATAATCTTTTCTATTGAAAAATGCAGTGTCATTTAAAATGAGATCGTGTTCTCTTTAGGGCTCGTCCACAAAATTGGCTCTTAAAAAACTTGGTTATACTTTGATCCAGGTGCAACTCACTAAGAATGTCTGAGGGTGGAAGCTGCAGAACTATAAATGGGTTATGCAAGTAGGCTAAAAAACAGGAACTGATTTCAACATACTGCATTGTGACAGTGAATGAAAATATTACAAACTGAATAAAAGACTGACCTAACACTCAATGCATACTGTCCTCTAAGACAACAGATGGAGCAGTCAACTGGAAATATCTGTGCTTTGCAGTAGAATTTCAAGCACTGGCAAAATCTGTAATTTAAAGGACTGGAAAGAAGGTCTTATTCTTTATGTAAAATAGCTAAATCTTCAAGAATTCCCAAAGACAAAGTTTGGGGGGTTTTGATAAGGAAAAGCAGGAAGATTTCTTCCGTTTTCTTTCCTTTACCACCAAGTAACTAATTTCTGAACAACTCCTACCATGCTCTGCAGAATTCTTAGGGCTTCATCTTTTCCTTCAAGCTGTCTTTGAGATGCTTCAAGCTCAACTTTCAAAATTTCAGCTTCCTGAAGTGAAATAAAATAGGTACACTCAGCAAAAGCCAGGGTAATCTTGTTAAAACTTAACTGTAACAGCAATGTAAATTTGCCCTCTTCAAAAACCAATCTTCTCCTGTTTCTACCCTAGATAATTCTTTTCTAATAACTTGTGACGAAGAAATATTAACAGTGCATGCCAGCACAAAATCCTTAAAGAAGAATACTTGTAATTATTATTCTTTCTGTTCTCCTCCATTGTATTTGGAAAATAAACCAATAAATACTGCAGTTCTTCCTCGCTAAAGAAGTTGTATATATCAACCCAGGTCTGGAGCTTTAAAACAAGTAAGCAAAAGAGAAGAGCAGATACATACACATAAATACACACAGCAGATTAAAAATACAATGAATATTACACATATAGACTAAAATATAAATATATTAACATAATGTAGCATAATGATATAAAAAATGTCCATACTCTCTCTATGGTGCAGATACCATGTTAGGACTGTTAGATCAAAACCACTACCTGTCCAGAACAAACCACCAACAACAAAACAGGTTCCTTCTCCAGGTACATGTCAATCATGTCTCTATGCAACATTTTCCCTTTCAGAAGAAAGCAGTTTTTCAATTTCCAAGCGTTAAAAGAAAATTTACTACTTTGTCTATCTATCTTTCCTTAACCCTTAGGCAGGTCACCTAGTTGTTCACTTGTGGTCATACAGAACTTTTTTCATAGTTCTTCCAGTTCTATTACTTCAGCGATTGATAGTGAAATTGTATCTGGGAGCAGTGGCAATTTATCAGTTTTGTCTAATTGAAATTGAGTAAGGTTACTTGACATTTTAACCTTCATGCTAAGACAGCTTGAAAATGACTTACCATGGGCTATCCTGATGTTAAAGAACACGCTGTAGGTGAAGTGTGTATTTTTATAGCTGCGATCACCCTGCTCTTTGTGCCCAGACTGATGCCAACACACCAACATGTTTAACCACAGTAAAATTAAAATGTAGGCATGAACTCCCTGTCAACAAAAATGCAGACTGAAAACCCAAAGACTATTCTGTTTACACTGCGGATTTTCAGGCCCAAAGCTTAATTAAAAAAAAACAAAACAAAACAAAAAGAAAATCTGCTAAAAAGGGAGTACAATCCTTTTAATACTTTCTACATATTTAAAAATACTTCACCTCCCTCTACATATTTAAAAATACTTCACCTCCCTCTCCCCCCAAAAAATCCAGACTATAAACTGCACCTCACACTGATTTCCTGGCATAAAATGTAATAAGGCTTACAAATGCCACTCTAAAGAATCTGAATCCATCCAAGACTCCAGACATGCCAAGATCTTCAGCGAAACTAACATTGTGCTTTACTTTGCTACGTTAAAAGGAAATGCAAATTTCAAGAGCAGCACACAGTCACTAACCTCTAGAGCATCCCGAAGTTGTTGCTTTAGTTCTTCATTGGACACTTCAGTATTAGATTCTGCAGGATTGATAGGAGATACTAAATGATGAGATACTATAGTATTTACAGAAGAAAACTTGAGAATTTGCTTTCCCCTGGAAACAGGCAACATGTAAAGGTGAATTTTCACCTTTGTGTTTTTCTTCTTCTGGAGCTAATAAACAGATTTAAGAAATACATAAATACTAAGCTCAGCCATATTGTTTCACAGCTGAAGAATTGAAATGGGGAAAAAAAAAATCAGGTTTAAAGAGACCTAAAATAAGGAAAATTATTTTAGAACTTCCTTAAACAAAAAACAAACCACAAAACTGCAATCTTGAATCAAAAACTAATTTAATTTTTTAGATTCTTTTTAGATTGTTAACTTTTCAACAACCAAACTCAACACAGCAGTAGCTAGCACTATTTAGAAGTAGGGGCAATTTTCAAGAGACCACGATTAAGTACAGTGGTGGAGTATTCCACAAGATCCAACTCTCCTCTAAACAAGAGGTTACTATTGGTACCATTTTTCTTAAACTCAGCATCACAGAGAGATGTTAAGATGCAGCCTCCTACTAGGTCTAAGTCAGGTCCATGGTGACTTTAGTCATGCTTCATGAGTATTGCAGTGTGAAAGACCTAAATCAAAGACAAGCATCATCAGAAGGACAGTGAAACCAATCGAAATCACGCTGCTCTTGTAACATCTCTTTGATGCTACTGAAACCAATAATTACATGGCTTAGCTTACTGCAGTGTGTGGAAAGAATTAGGAGGGACTTGTTCGAAAGGAGAGAAATAACCAAGTTATATGAAAATGCTTCAGTCAGAATACTAAAAATGGCTAAAAATGTAAGGCAAATCAGCTAAAGTGTAATGAACAGCACTGTCTTTATTTGATTTTATTCACAGCAGTGTTGTCTTCACGAAAAAACCCTGAACGCCAGCACCAGGAGAACGGAGATGTGCAGGTTCTAAAAACAACTGCTTAACCTGAAAACTATGTGAATTCACAAATATCCACTAAATAGCAAATAGGATTTTTAAGATTTAGCCATAAGCTTTAGATACAATCTCTGAAAATACATGCTTAAACAAACCCAAGCAATTCCATTCAACTTCATATAGGTATTTAGAGAAACACAATGCTGTCCCCCACCACAGGATTCTCTCTGCTAAATGCCACTTAAAAATGCAAAACTAAACACTTTAAAAATCATCATTTTACACAAAGAAGGCCCACAGCCTCATTCACTGACAAGCAACTCTGCTGTAAACATGTTTTGGGAGGACTCCTCTGTTGCCTCAAGGGCTTGGAGCATCTCCTTCTGCGACACCGACTGCAGGCTCGCAGGATGCACCAACCCACCTGTGAGGCTGCCTCAGGTAAGAAATGGGCAGGTGTTTCTTGGAAACCTTCAGAGATTTTTAAGTATTTTGGCAAATGGTTTGAATTAAACTTGCTGACACCTCGTGAAGCAGCTGAACTGCTCGGTTTTGCTAACTGTATTATTCTTACCACAGCTGTGTTGTCGCGTGGAACTGGTAACAGGTTTTTTGGATGATCCATTGTAAAAACTGTTTCGTTTTGAACCGGGAAGTGCTGCAGCATCACTTTCTTCCTCTCTCTTTGCTGACAAGAGGGAACTGCAAACCTTTGCAGATCCTTTCCTAGATCTAAACAAATAGGAGTTTTGTAAATCCTCCCCTTCAAAAACACCTCCAGGTCTTCTCCCAAATCCATTTCCCAGGTCTCCACATGTCATGTCATCTTCTTCTGCTTCCTCCATCTTCTTGGTTTTTGGTGTTTTGTTTTGTTTTTTGTTTATTTTCCTGATTGAGGGCACTTCACTCACTGGCGATATGAACAGTGCCTCCTCCAAACCAACAGGTATTTTCGCTAGAAAAACAGAAACACTCCATCATTAAAGCAGAAAAACAACATTACAGTGAAAAATCCGAAGCTGCTGCCTCGTGGTCGCGTCCCACAGGGGTTCGGGCTGCCCGAGAACATCTCCCCCGCCGCACGGTAAAACCTCCCGCTGCGGACGGGGCAAGGTGGGCTGGGCAGGGGGGATGCGCCTCAGTGACCCCCCGCGACACCCCCGGTCC